ATGGCGGCCTTGGCGCCTGGGCCCCGCATACCTTCCTCCAGGCGCAAGACCAGCAGCCGCTGCTCCCGGGGCTCCTCCAGCCAGGCCCCCAGCTGCTGCAGCAGGGGCAGGGCGGCCTGTCCGTCGGTGGGGCCGCAGACCCCGAAGGTGGCCAGGTCTCCCGGGCCCCAGCGGGCCTGCCACACGGCCCCCAGGAAGGCCCGCTCGTAGGGGCCCAGAGTCCCTGCCACCTGCAGGGGCATGCTGCTGCCGTTGCCCGGCCCCAGTGTCACCAGGCACACGGGGTCCTGGGGACCGCCTGGCGGCCAGTCCCCGTCTTCCTGGAAGAGGAGGCCCCCGGCGCCCGCAGCGGGCTTCCCTGCCCCCAGGGCCTCAGCCCACAGCAGAGCTCCTGTGGCCGCCAGCAGCAGGGCCAGGCGGGCGAGCAGTGGGTCCTGCATCGCGGCTGCTGCGGGCTGGGCTGCGGGCCTCAGTGGGCCAGGGCGAGAGCCGGCCGTCTGCCCCAGGTGGCCTTGGGGGGACGCTGTCAGCGCCTCGGGGCTGGGCCCAGGGGCCTCGTCAAAGAGCGCTCTGTGGGCAGCCGCGTCTCCCCCACAGATGGCGGCGGCCGGTGGCTGCCAACACACTGTCCTTGGGGCGCGTCCCCTCCTGGGGCAGATGACGGCCAGGGCCCTCACCCGGGCCCGGGGAGTCCTGGTGTCTGGCCCGCTGGAGACTCAAGGACAGCGCGTCTCCGCCTTCCTTCCCGCGGACGGGACCCCAGACACGCTCCTGGCCGGCAGGGCCTGCCCCCTGCCGCGCAGCCTCCCGGACACAGCTGCCAGCGGGGCCACCCACATGCGGCTCCTGGCGAGCCACGGGCCCTCTTCAGCCCCGTGTGGGGTGCGGGGCCGCTGCCTGGCACCTGCAGCGTCCACTGGGGTGGGCAGCCGCCAGGCCCTCCCACCCTAGCCCCCAAGACACGCGAGTCCACACCAGGCAGGGAGGCTGTTTAATAAGCTCGGGGTGTACAGAAGACTGAAGCCCCCCACGGGAGCGCGCAGGGCCACAGGGGGCCAGGCTTGCG